ATATTGGCAAATGTTGAGAATAACGCAAGAACAATCATATGGAATAGAAATTGATGTAATGACAACTTAAAATGATGACGTCGACGATTACACCTATATTGTGACTTTTACTTATATATTCATTTACTTATATTCATTTTTTTGATATTTTCGAAAAATATTTAAATTACCGTTTAATATATATATTTGCGTAATTTGTAACGCAACAAACATATATTAATTAGCAATTTGACGATTTTATGACAAATAATAAGAGTTTTACATGCTGTGTTTTTTTTCGATTTTCAATTTAACGTTGCACTGGCCGAAAGTATTGCACCCGCTGTTACAACTGACTGTAAGAACATTTTTCAACTTCTTTGTAATTCGAAAGCTTATAGAAATTTTTTTCAATTGTTCAATCGATATAAAAACAATATCTGCTACAAGGTCGGGAATAATAAAAATATCGACTGGTATTCGGCGTCGAGCATTCGTCGACGTCGAATTGACGTCGATTTGACTTTTTATTCTGGCTAGGTCGAGTTACGTTAGCGCATAGAATCGAATAGCGAGAAATAAGAAGAGATTGCTGACAATCCAACGGGGATGTCCCTGGCGATTAATCGGAATACACGACGCCTTTATTTTACATTTTTAAAAGTCATAAATATGCAGAGCGTATAACCGGGAAAACATGAAGTGTCAACCCGGTCGGCTTTATTGCCGCTACGTTTGACGCCGATCCCGATTATACACGGGCGTATTTATCACTCGCAGAGGAGACATAATGTTAAAATCGCTCGTGCGTGGCCGTGCTAATGATAGTGTGCGACGTGTTACTCTCCGGAATTTTGCTCCCAATTGACAACATCAATCCGAGCTGGTCTCATTCACTCGTGTTTGAGTTTCGCGCTGTCCGCGAACGGCTCGCGTTGCGCGCGAAGAATGTTCCGCGGCTGTAACGGGCACTTTTGGAATCGACACCGCGCATCTCCATTCGCGTTCAGCGAAGCTCGGCTCTCACAGAGCGGCTCGGTTCAATCGCATCGCTCGACACCGGGTTATTTGCATTGTGCAAACAGGTACGGGCCCGCCATCATTTCGCTGTGTATCGATGTTTACGCGCGGGAAATGATAAATTTCGCCGCCGAAGGAAGCCATTAAGAGCCGTTTAAGGTGGCCACGGTGTTCGCGCAGTTACCGTATACGCGCTAATGACGTTTTTAATATTCCCGGCTGCGTTAATTGCCGGCATTTCGCGCTAACGCGGGTGCGCTGAGGCCCTCGTCGCGCGGGTCATCATCGCGAAATTTCGAACGCGTGTCCGGCTCCGACGGTAATTCGAAGTAACCGTTACGAATAGAGTCGGCGAGGGATTTACGGCGCGTTTCACGACGAAAGTTCGGTCCGCGCCGAAGAGAATTTAAAGGACCATTATAACTGTTTACATTCTTCGGGGTTATAACAGGAGCGGATCGCGCACATACGTACGCACGCACACAGATACGCGCGTATTTTATCGTCGGTAACGTTAGATATTTTCGCAGTCGCGCAAAGAGAGAAACGCGCGACAAAATCGCAGGGGCGGAACGGACAAAAGAGAGTCGCGCGAGCTCGTTAAATTACGATCGGAATAACGCGTGGTCGGCTTTATTTGTCGCCTCGTCTCGCGGAAGCATAATCGAAACTGGCACACTCGCGATTGCGCGTTTAAATAGTTAATCTCGCGGCTGGGGTTATCGGTCACAGCGCAGCGCGCTACGCAACACAACGCATATCGTAACGTGGCGCGCATCTCCACCCCCCGCACCGTCCCGACCGTTACCGGGTAATTATTGTAGGTCGGCAGCGCCCGGTTAATTACAGGGCGGCACACCTACGTGCTCGTGCGCATACGACCGGAGCATCTGATACGCGTGGCTATGATGAAAATGAAATCGCCCGATTTCCGAGCGGCGCCGAGAACGCGTCCCCGATTTCCGCCGGTCTCCAACCTCTCCGAGGACCCCGAGGGGTCCGTCTCCGAGAAGAGTCTTGTCTCACTTCCGGAAAGGAAACGCGCTAAGCTGGAAAAATGCTCTTATCCCGAGAGAAAATTTTCCGAGGATTTCGAAACGCGCGCTCTCTCTTTCTCTCCCCGCTATAAATCTGTCAAACGCGTAGGCGTAACATCTCGCGTCCGCGCGAAGGTGTTCAAACCCTTCGTTAAGCTTACCGTTGCACTTATAACGTGCGGGAAAAGAAATTGCCGACAACGAAATTGCGGGGCGCTTGAGCGGCGTGGTAGCGTCTCTTGTGTGAAAAATTGACCGCTCACCGCTCGATACTTAACGGCGACGTCTTCTCCGGTGCATATTTGAATCAGGTTTTGAGTGGTGGTCTGGCTTATGCGCGACTCGCTTAAATATTCCATACCGCGGCCGGGTTATCGGCTCGCACAATATGGCCTCCATTGCCTGATAATTATTAGGGAGGGTTGCCAGCCCTCGACGCCCCTTTGTAGGTGCGAGGTGCTCGTCCGGACGAAATAGGGCCGTAAAGGGGCTACTCTCGCCGAAGGGTATGCAGGGGTGAAATTTCGCGCGTGTTCGTCCCCGTAAAGCCACTTCAGCTTCGCCGCCAGATGTTTAAGGTCGCTCGAGATTAACTTTCGCGAGATACGTCAGCGCGATATGTGCGTATATTTCTCTTTCGCCCGGTGTTAATTTGCCTCGACCGAACGGACGGTTCAAGTGTTGCCGGAAAATTATGTTTTTCCGCGTACAACCTCCGCCTCTACCGTGTAACCTTGAATGTCGGATGGCCTAATTACGTACGCTGCAAGAGACGTTGTAATTGCGCGGTCGCGCTCACGATCGCGCGAGATCCACCGGGTCCCTTCCTCGGTTCACTAAAGCTGGCAGTCGGCAAGACACGCGCGTCAAATGCCTCCGTGGGAATGAAATTTTTCAACCCAACGGAAAGCTCGGAAACTGAATTCTTTTTTTCCCCTACGAACCAAAGTGCAATATTCGCGCGATTGTGCAGCGTAATTACTTGGCGTTGAATTCGCTCGCTCTCTCGGGCGGCTTCGCGTTTTCATTTCGGACAATTACAAAGAGGTCGTAATAAATGTCGAGTACTCCGGCGAGTAATAGCCGGCGACGCGACGGGGGAAAGGAAAGTGTGAAAAAAAGAAGTTCGCCTCATTTGTGAAAAAAAAATTGCATCGTGAACTCGCGCCGTAATGCTCGTAGCCGAACGTCGTTATTAATTGCAGTTAATCAGGGCCGACGCTAATATTCAACGTGAAATTACACAGCGTGCCCCTCGCGATAACTACATCACGTCGCGGCAGCTACCTCCGCAAAAAGTCGTCGAGTTCAGCAAACAATCATGCGGCGCCGAGAGATGTAGTAATTGCGGGGTCTCCTCTCTAATTTCGCTTTCTCAAACTCTTTCCGGGTTTGCGGCGAGTTTGCTAATTAAGGTGGAATAGAGTCATCGAAAGGCAGACTAAATGGGGTAGATATAAGCGAAGCTTAAAAACTTGGCAGCCGTCCGTGTGAAATTATGCAACAGTCTCGGTGTTTGAGGAGTCGCTGCCAAATTATTACCTTCTTAAATATTTAGAAAGTGTCGAGAAAGTGTATGTTAGAGTCGGCAAGTCGCCGGGACTCGTCAATTCGTGCAGAATGCTCTGAAATCACTCATCCTGTGTTAGAAACACCATCATTACGAACGAAGGAAAGACACGTCTATCATTGTTAATACCTACCTTAGTAGAAATTAAACCTCTTGGGTGACTAGATGGTAAATGGATTGTGCTTAACGTCACTAGCCAATAATGTAACGCTCATTTCTCCTGGTGGTTAGATAACGATTAGATAAATAAGTTAACCGATAGCTGAAAAAATTACAGTTACGAGATGAAAAGTCATGATTTTAAAATGGTATTTAATCTTTCATTTCTTAAAATTTCTATGAGATAACGTAGCTTCAATTTTGATTTATTACCTATTACCAACCTCATTTTTAAATACCAGTGGCGGCTGTGTAATAACTAGATTATATATTTTAGAATAAATAGCGCCGCTTACTCTTTCATATTTAACACGTAATGTCTGGCAAACAGTTAAATCAATTCTACAAGATCGATTCTACTAGCGAATAAAGCCAGCAATGAATTAATAACGAGCTGGAAAATGTAATCTAACCTGTATTAGTTAGCTAGCAGCTTTTCACTCAGGCCGAGTAGATGCATTTCTACTCAGATAGTTGGCCAACACCTCTCCTTTAGGAAGGCTAAGCCCTTTTCACTCGACGCTGAAACTACGTGCCTCGCGCGCGCGCGGAAACAAAAACTATATTCATAACTCGAGCTCCACGAGTCTCGCGGAATGGAAAGGTTAATATAGATGCCGACGAGCGGCGAAGGGTGAAGTCGAATTCCGTGGACGATGGCGCGAATTCGGCACGAAACAGAAGCGCGGAGTGTAGCAGCAGAGGTTGGCCGAGGAGAGGAGAGCCGGAGGGCTGAGAGAAGAAGGAGAGGGGGCGAATGGGGGTCGGGTGGTGGTTGGTCGGACGGGTGGCTGCAGCCAGCAGGAGGCGGCCGGGCGAAGGGGGGTGGAATTTCGCGCGTGCTCGGCTTCATCCCCCTCGACCGCCGCCACCGCTGGATGCTGAGGGTAGCTGGACCGCGCGCGTGAGGTGTCAGTTCTGCGCGCGATCTCCTCCCTGAAGGTGTCAACCTGCTCGCGACCTGCTCCAAGGTGTTCTCCGAGTGGTCACGCACGATCGGACGCACGTACTCGCACCACTCAATCTCCGCTTTCGGTTACTACCCCTCGGTTATCCCCGTCCGGTCTTTCTCGCGGTCTCCCCTCGGTTTGACGACCGTGACGACGACGACGACGACTTGTGAAACGGACGGACCTCTCAGTGAAAAAGTTCCTCTCTCTTGAAACTGGTCGGGGCGCAGTCGTATCGTTCGAGTCTGGCACGTGACACGCTTCAGCTGGCGACTATCATGCTGGCCGGGATCTTCGAGGGCAACAATGTACGTGAAGGATCTTTCGCGGTAGGAAGTTCGGTCGCGTGCATATCGCCTTCTCTCCCTTGGCGATATACACGCGGTATTGGAGCTGTTGGAGAAAGGAAGGCACTTTACGATAGTGATCGTGTTTGTTGGAGAGAGAGGGGGGAGGGCGAATTAGATCGGAAGCTGCGCGATATTAATGCCAGAATATCCGAGATCGTTATCTCCATTATTCAGTGCTTCTTAGTCGGCCATAAAGCTGATAATTATAAGCCATACGAGAATTGAGCGAATATTCATGTTATTTAACGTTTGGATGGTAATTTTTACTTTTGTCATTCTAAATTGCTGATATTTGGCGTATCGTAGAAAAAGGCGAAGATGTCATGCTCTAATGTTAATTTAGAGATCAATCTGATATTGATTTATCCTTTCCGGCGAGGTACAACGACGGGCGATGCGTTCGCATGTCCGTGTATAATTTTTCACAGTTAAAGCTTCCGTTAGTGCGGCGAGTCACGTCTCGATCATTGTGTCTCGATACGTGAAGGAGTGTCTACGAGCACTCGGTGCAACATCTTCCGTTGAATCGCATTTCTCTCAAATATTATTCGATCTCAGCTCCCTCGGTCTTCCATAAAGAGCGGTATTGAGGGAATTGTGCTCGCGATGTCAATAATTGCACGTTGTGCGAGCAGGTGTTTCGACATATCGATATGTCTATATTCTTTCTCTCTCTCTGCAGTTTGGATTTTGTAACGCTATTATTACAAGCATTCTTTATTCCGTCCGTTCTTTCTTTCCTAGCACGTTTAATAACGCAAATGGAGTTAAAAGATTCTTTTTCGCGCGACTGCTATTTTCACCGAACATTTTCCAAATGAAAATTGTCATTATTGTACGCGCTTTTGCGCTTTTGCCGCGTACTCTGACCTAAAAAATCTTTTCTTTCGATGTTATTTCCATCCGTTTGCACATTATGTTTTTGAAAAGCAAAGGTATATTCGCGGCTAATTAAATTAACAGCAAATTCGCCTGTTCTAAGAATTAATAATTTTTGCCTTTTAATTGGATATTACACAGCACCATTAATATTATACACGTCACGCACTTCCATATCATTCGGATGAAATTTGATTTATAATCAAATCGCGCTTTTCGTTAACGGTGTTAAGTGAACATGAAGCTTTAACGAGTCTTTTAATGACACTGGGGTGTCAAACATCATCGTACCCCGCGAGTATTTTGCGCTTCACAGCTTCAACGGGCACCCGTTTCTCATTATGGCGCTAACTAATCAACCGTATCTCACGCCGACAAGAAAGTAACGTGGCGTGAAGTTTTTCGTTTTTAAAAACCCGACGGAAGAATCCGTCGCAACGGCGCGCGAATTAAACGTTTGCTTTCCGCCCGCCGCGTTATTGCAAATTAATTACGCCACGCGTATACGAATATCGTTAGCAAAATCGCCGACCCCCGGGGGCATCGAATAAAGAGAATTATCGCGGGCAGATACGGCGGGTCGTATATCGCCGCGACTGGCTCTCTTCAGGTGGCGATAATTCATCAGACTCGAGTAACTCGGCTGCTCGCGGATGATTAATTAATGTCAGAGGCAGCGCTCGTTTTCGCTCCCAATTCTGTCTCCTCTCCATCAACCCGGCCGGAATAGTTGCTCGATAATTTTTATTATTCCAACCGGCTCCCCTCGGCGATTTATGCCACGTCCACCTTACAGCCTAAACTGCTGGAAGTTTCGGGAGAAAAGCTATAAATTACCCTTAAAACTCTTACGATATTGCGAAAACTCGAAAAAAGCTTTTAATAAATCGCGGCAAGACCGTAGGTAGCCGAGCGAGCGCGATGTGTGATATTGAGATATGGTTACTCTCGGTGTGTGCGGTGCTTTAAACATTTATCGTACGTTCTGATTTATGTTGGCGGAAATTACGCTGGATGACCATTGAATCTACGCTCTTTCCTGATTGTACAAGTTAATACAATTAATAATGTAAATAAAAACTTTGTGCGTCATCGCGGATTTAAACAATTGTTATTAGAGTTTGTCATTCAGTGACGAGTGATTTTATTTTATTAACAACTTTCCCTCAGCATTAAGTTTAAGTATTATTTTTCCAACGTAGTTATGAGGAAAGCGTTACGAACGACGAAAATAAAATCAACTAATTTGGGATCCTTGCGTTTAGGGAAAACTATCGCGTTGTTTGTGAGTAATTCTTAACTAGCGCATTCTGTATTTCCACGACTTACTGCAATTTACTAAAGATATCGCATACTTTGCCCAAGTCTGCATTTACGGCCGTGTGCTCGTATTTCCGCGCGCTTTTACGATCGTCGATACCTTCGGCGCCTCACGTCGGTTATTTACCTTCAAAAGCGTATCCTGCGAAATCACTCCTCGGTTTACGCTCGGCGAGATCTCTCCTGCCTTCTGTTCTTATCCCGAATCTTCGCGCGTGAATAAAATACACGCACACACGGCGAAAATAAGCCCGCCGGTTTCTCGTGGTCCTTCTGGCGCGCCGAAACCTAGCTCAATAACCCGGTTTAAGCTTTAAGCATCTCGTCGGGCGTGAGTACGTAACTACTCGAGCGACAATTTGTCAGGACGGAGATGCATTATAGAGTGTGTTTGATGTGTTACTATCAAGAGATGCGGTTAATATATGTAATTCTCGGAGAAGAGATACCTGAACTGCATGGGCCACACACACACACACACACACACACGCTTTGTTCATCGAACAAGCACAATCGATATCTTGTTTTCGAGTATATACGTAGAACTGTTTAAATTACAAACATCTTCACTAGTTGCATTTTCCGGGAAATTTATGAAATTCTACACATGGAAAAATAATTTACTGGATTTCAACTTTTATATTGTCGCAAACAAAAACTGTCAGTTATTGTATGGATAGCCAAACGATTTGATAAGAATACTAATTGCCATTCGCTGGTTTATTTTGTTGAATTTACAAATTATTATGTTGCAAGCATAAATTAGCAAACGTATTTGTTTTCCGTAATATAACAGAGAGAAATTCTTAAAAACCGAACGATTATATGTATAATAACATCTCTTCGAATTTTTGTTGTCAAAAACGCACAATTTTCCATGCATTAAACGATCTAAAATTATATTTCACGAAATGTTAGATCTTCGACTTCGCGATGGCATCTCTCATTAATTCCGTTTCTTTTTTTTAATTATTCTAATTACCTCCGGTCTCACTAAGTGTCACTTACGCTATCTGACAGTAATAGTGGTTTTCAGATTTTCCTCCGAAAATCCGCGATATCATACGTCGTCGGTCGTGTATTTTCCGCATCGTGCTGAAATCCCGCGTAATTTATCGAATTTTTCGCAGGACGTTTGACAGCTTCGCTGTAACGACACGCCGATGCCGATGTCGTCGTTCTCGCTCGTAAACCTGTAAAGTATTTTCTGTTTATCGTTGTTATCGGGATATATAGCGTGTGTTTCGCGCAGAGACGCTCGCGGTATTTTTTCATTAAATGTGAATTCGACTCTGGGAGAAACGCACGAATGGTTCGCGCGGACACGAAAATAACGTTTTGCGGCCGCGCGCCCGGCGCGGCTTCGTGAGAGAAATCGAATTTCGAGAGCTCGAAAGGGATTCTGTTAGCTGTTTTTAGCGCCGGAAAAATTAGAGGCTTGGCGGCGGCCGCTGCGTTAATCGCTTTAACTGTTCCACGCTTCCCGCGATTGACGGTCTCGCGGCTCGTGATCATTATACCTGCGACTTTACGTTTTTTGCGATACCAGAAATGCGGAAATGCGGTCGAATTTCCATATCTCTTCTGCGAGATACATTGTTTCAATTCATAATTTCGGCCTCGATTTCTCTTCGAGGAAAAAAAATATAATGAAATTTTTGCAATTTTTGCGATTGAAAGATTTAATTAAAGATAACATATGAAACAAACATTTAACAAAAACATTTAATTTTTAGATGAATATAAATACACAAGATAAGCTCGCCTCGGCTGAGAGATTAATTATAACATTCATATAAATATAGATAAAATATGACTTTTTATTTTAAGAACTTTGGTCGGAAAATGGACTGGGAATTGATCGAGGAAGCAAAGTTGCATCGAAACTTCAAGAGATCTCGGCTTTATCTCCAGCGTGGAAAAATCAGTTTCATTTAACGCAGCGAATGCCAGAGAGAGAGAGAGAGAGAGAGAGAGAGAGAGAAAGAGTCTCCCAGTGCATTTTATATGAGAACTTTATCGGTGGATTGACCGAATTTTCCGTTCGCGCTGCGAAAGAGGAAAATTTCTTAGGCGGCTCTTCTCAGGAAATAAGAATTTGAAACGGTCTCGGCGTATCGATTCCAATTTTGAACGCATAAACTCGTCTCTATATCGGAGACTCGCTCGCCGCCGATAAAACGTGCTGGCAGAGAGGGGAATGCTTGTTCGATGGGAACGATCTTAATCAGAGAGGCGTAAGTCGCCGGATCCGACGTTCAAAGCGGTAATCCTTTTGCAGCTTGTTCCGCTGGGACGTAATCGCCGTGAAAATGGCCGTCGCACTCGCGTATCCAACGCGAGAGTGACAAACGCGTCGCGAGAGACGTCGAAACGACGACGAAAGGCCGCGCAAAATTGATTAACCTCTCAGCATTCCGCGGATTCCAGGATCTCATAAAACTTCTTAACCAGCCACTCTAAGAAAGAATTTCCCGCGTCGCTCCTTTTTACTGTCTGTCCCGTAAGAAGCAGCGAAACTCGTTCCCCCTTTCTCTCTCTCTCTCTCTCTCTATCACCCTCTCCCTTTCGCTCCCTCTCAGAGCGCGTTTCCGTTTCCCCTTGTTTCAGCAGTCCCGCGTAGCCCCGTATCCGCTTCCGTTGAATTCTACCACGGAAAGTTTGCACGGATCTCACGGGAGAGAATATGAATAATCCGGCGAATTATCTCGGGATTTAACCGCGGAGCCATCGAATGTTACTCCGTGGAAACACTTTCA